AATTTTTGCAAATCTATACAAAATAAAAAACAGAAATACCTTATTTACAAAAGTATTCAGACCCTTTGCTATGAGACTCGAAATTGAGCTCAGGTGCATCCTGTTTCCATTGATCATCCTTGAGATCCTTGATTGGAGTCCACCTGTGGTAAATTCAAGTGATTGGACATGATTTGGAAAGGCACACACCTGTCTATATAAGGTCCCGCAGTTGACAGTGCATGTCAGAGCAAAATCCAAGTCATGAGGTCGAAGGAATTGTCCGTAGAGCTCCGAGACAGGATTATATCGAGGCACAGATCTGGGTAAGGGTTAACAAAAAATGTCTGCAGCATTGAAGGTCCCCAAGAACACAGTGGCCTCCATCTGTACACCTGTACATTGACTCGTTACCGGTACTCCCTGTATATAGCCTTGTTATTTTATTGTTGCTCTTTTATTTTTTACTTTAGTTTATTTAGTAAACATTTTTATTAACTCTTATTTTTCTTAAAACTGCATTGTTGGTTAAGGGCTTGTAAGTAAGCATTTCACGGTAAGGTCTACACCTGTTGTATTCGGCGCATGTGACAAATACAATTTGATTTGATTTGATCATTCTTAAATGGAAGGTTTGGAACCACCAAGACTCTTTCTAGAGCTGGCTACCCGGCCAAACTGAGCAATTGGGGGAGAAGGGCCTTGGTCAGGGAGGTGACCAAGAACCCGTTGGTCACTCTGACAGAGCTCTAGAGTTCCTCTGTGGAGATGGGAGAGCTTTCCAGAAGGACAATCATCTCTGCAGCACTCCACCAATCAGACCTTTATTGTAGAGTGGACAGACGGAAGCCACTCCTCAGTAAAAGGCACATGACAGCCCACTTGGAAACAAGATTCTCTCGTCTGATGAAACCAAGATTGAACTCTTTGGCCTGAATGCCAAGCGTCACGTCTGGAGGAAACCTGGCACCATCCCTACGGTGAAGCATGATGGTGGCAGCATCATGCTGTTGGGATGTTTTTCATCGGCAGGAACTGGGAGACTATTCAGGATCGAGGCAAAGATGAACGGAGCAAAGTACAGAGAGATCCTTGATGAAAACCTGCTCCAGAGCCCTCAGGACCTCAGGCTGGGGTGAAGGTTCACCTTCCAACAGGATAACGACCCTAAGCACACAGCCAAGACAACACAGGAGTGGCTTCGGGACAAGTGGCCTAGCCAGAGCCCGGACTTGAACCCAGAGCTTGAGAGGATCTACAGAAAAGAATGGGAGAAACTCTCCAAATACAGGTGTGCCAAACTTGTAGCATCATACCCAAGAAGACTCGACGCAGTAATCACTGCCAAAGGCGCTTCAACAAAGTACTGAGTAAAGGGTCTGAATACTTATGTAAATGTGATAATTCCGTTTTTTAAATTTGCAAACATTTCTAAAAACCTGTTTTTGCTTTGTCATTATGGGGTATTGTGTGTAGATTGATGAGGGGGAAAAACGATTTAATCCATTTTAGAATAATGCTGTAACCTAACAAAATGTGGAAAAAGTCAAGGGGTCTGAATACTTTCCGAATGCAATCTCTGTAATCCACACATACAGTACCAGTCAAAAGTTTGGACACACCTACTCATTCCAGGGTTTTTCTTTATTTTTACTATTTTCTAGTATAGAATAATAGTGAAGACATCAAAGTATGAAATAACACATATGGAATCATGTAGTAACCAAAAAAGTGTTAAACAAATTAAAATATATTTTATATTTGAGATTCTTTAAAGTAGCCACACTTTGCCTTGATGACAGCTTTGCATACTCTTGGCATTCTCTCAACCAGCTTCATGAGGTAGTCACCTGGAATGCATTTCAATTAACAGGTGTGCCTTGTTAAAAGTTAATTTGTGGAATTTATTTCCTTTTTAATGCGTTTGAGCCAATCAGTTGTGTTGTGACAAGGTAGGGGGGGTATACAAAAGATAGCCCTATTTGGTAAAAGACCAAGTCCATATTATGTCAAGAATAGCTTAAATAAGCAAAGACAAACGACAGTCCATCATTACTTTAAGAGATGAAGGTCAGTCAATCTGGAAAATGTCAAGAACTTTGAAAGTTTCTTCAAGTGCAGTCGCAAAAACCATTAACCGCTATGATGAAACTGGCTCTCATGAGGACCGCCACAGGAAAGGAAGACCCAGAGTTACCTCTGCTGCAGAGGATAAATTCATTAGAATTACCAGCATCAGAAATCGGCAATTAATTGCACCTCAGATTGCAGCCCAAATAAATGCTTCACAGTGTTCAAGTAACAGACACATCTCAACATCAACTGTTCAGAGGAGACTGCGTGAATCAGGCCTTCATGGTCGAATTGCTGCAAAGAAACCACTACTAAAGGACACCAATAAGAAGAAGAGACTTGCTTGGGCCAAGAAACACAAGCAATGGACATTCCTGCAATGACAACAAGCTCTGTCCGATGATGCTGTGACACACCGGCCCAGACCATGACGGACCCTCCACCTCCAAATCGATCCCGCTCCAGAGTACAGGCCTCGGTGTAACGCTCATTCCTTCGATGATAAATGCGAATCCGACCATCACCCCTGGTGAGACAAAACCGCGACTCGTCAGTGAAGAGCTCCTTTTGCCAGTCCTGTCTGGTCCAGCGACGGTGGGTTGGTGCCCATAGTCAACGTTGTTGCCAGTGATGTCTGGTGAGGACCTGCCTTACAACAGGCCTACAAGCCCTCAGTCCAGCCTCTCAGCCTATTGCAGACATTCTGAGCACTGATGGAGGGATTGTGCGTTTCTGGTGTAACTCGGGCAGTTGTTGTTGCCATCCTGTACCTGTCCCGCAGGTGTGATGTTCGGATGTACCGATCCTGTGCAGGTGTTGTTACACGAGGTCTGCCACTGCGAGGACGATCAACTGTCCGTCCTGTCTCCCTGTAGCGCTGTCGTAGGCGTCTTACAGTACGGACATTGCAATTTATTGCCCTGGCCACATCTGCAATCCTCAAGCCTTAATTGCCTACCGTCTGTAAGCTGTTAGTGTCTAAATGACCGTTCCACAGGTGCATGTTCATTAATTGTTTATGGTTCATTGAACAAGCATGGGAAACAGTGTTTAAACCCTTTACAATGAAGATCTGTGAGGTTATTTGTAATTTTACGAATTATCTTTGAAAGACAGGGTCCTGAAAAAGGGACGTTTCTTTTTTGCTGAGTTTATGAGCCTAGCATGTTAGCATATTAGCCTAGGATATCAGTGTAGCATATTATCCTAGTATGTTAGCATAGCATATTAGCATATAGCCAATAACGGCCCTCCTTATTGAAAAGTAGGCTGAATTCACTCTTCAAGTGGGGAGTGTGGCTTGTCCTCATATGGTTAATTTGTTTTCAGGGGTATCGGGGGTATTGTTTGGCAGGCTGATTTAAATCCTGTTTGTTAAGCTGTCTGTCCTTATCTGACATTTGAGGAGGCGATTGCGTTCTTCCCCCTCGTCTTTAAATGACGTGGTTGTTTAGAGGTGCATGACAACTGAGGCATGGAAATGTGCAGGTTTCCCCCCACTGTGCAAGTCACAGTCCATTCATGCTCCCCCTATTAGCTCCCAGGCGAGGGAACGATACGTATATAATAGTGTTTGGGTTTTTTATTTATTTATGTAAGCTACGCATCAAGGAGGCAAGAGATGAATCTTGGAGAAGATGAAAATCTAAAATCTCTCGCACTCTCTCTCCTGACTTTAATGAAGTAGCTAAAATCCATATAGTTTGTGTGCACATGTTTTGGTTTCATAGAAGATTTACGGGGACATTTTCAGGTGCAAGACCATGGTTGATTTATGAAGTCTTCTATTGCCCTGTGATAGGGTCTGGGGTCACCCACAAGTTATGGCATCAGGAGCAACTTTTACCAGCTAACTCATAAAACACACATGCACACACACACAGGCTTGTACAGCTAACCTTGTGTAGACACTGTCACGATCGTCGTAATAAGTGGACCAAGGCGCAGCGTGATATGCGTACATCTTTTAATTAGTACTTTACCAACACGATACAACAACAAAACGAAACGTGAAGTCCTCGGTCATAAAACACAAACCTACACGGAACAAGATCCCACAAATGACAAGTGCACAACCGGCTGCCTAAGTATGGTTCCCAATCAGAGACAACGAGCCACAGCTGTCTCTAATTGGGAACCACCCCGGCCAACATAGAAACACATAAACTAGAACAAGAACATAGAAAACGAAACATAGAACCTAACACCCAGAAACTAACACCCTGGCTCATCATATAAAAGTCCCCAGAGCCAGGGCGTGACAGACACACAATTCAGTTCCATTCAAAATCCTATTTTCCCTAACCCTAAACCTAACCTTAACCCAAACCTTAACCCAAAAATCAAACCTTAACCCTAACCCTAAAACTAACCCTAGCTCCTAACCCTAAACCTAATTCTAACCCTAACCCTAAACCCCCTAGAAATAGCATTTGATCTTGTGGGGACCAACAAAATGTCCCCAATTTTTGTTTGTTTACTATTCTTGTGGGGACTTCTGATCACCAGAAGAATAGTTAAAACACATCCACACGTACACACACATGCGCATACAAACACACTGGCCTGAAAAAGCAGATCAATAATTTCTCACATAGCACTCTGTGTTTACATCCACACAGCTGGGGTTTCTCCCCACTCTTCCTTGCGGTTGCTATGGACTGAAGAGCTTATTTTTATATTTAACTGGGTGTACATATCACCTTGGTGTTGATCTCCAACAAGTAGGGGAAGTAATGCGAAAAGGTAGTACCACTTGAATTCATTCCATACTTGAGATCACATGTTTGCAAACCAAATTGTGCTCGCTCAGATATGATGTTTTCATACCATTTCAGCACAGTTCCTGCAACTATGGTGGATGTGTAACCAGGCTGAGTACAGCTTGGCTTGGCTCGGTTCAGCTCAGTGATGTGAAAAACTATACTGCACACAGCCTGCCAGTTGTAATGACTAGTGTGTGTCTCTGTCTGTGCCTTCCAGTCCAGAGTCAGAACCTGGTGACAGACAATGTGGCGGTGGTGGAGGGCGAGGTGGCCGTCATCAGCTGCAGGGTGAAGAACAACGACGACTCGGTCATCCAGCTCCTCAACCCCAACAGACAGACCATCTACTTCAGAGACGTCCGACGTAAGTACCACACACACACACACACACACACACACACACACACACACGCACACACACGCACACGCACACAGGCTGGCATACACACACAGACACAACCTTATACATACACACACCTTAAAAATAGATTGGCCTACTAGTTCTACACAGATGGACATACACACTGACACACATAGACATACTGTCACATCAACTCTGCAATAATATTTTGGTCCACTTCAGAGACTACAGATGTTATTAGCACTCTCCACTGGTTGGAAAATACTAAATGCACCCACACACACAAATATAAAGTATAGCCCTAATGGTCACCCACTTTTGCAGTAAGTCCTCAAGTCCTTCTTCTGTTTACTTCAGAGACTTCAGGCATGAGCACACACACACACACACACACACACACACACACACACACACACAGAGAGAAGCAGCCACATCAGAAGGCCTCCCATCTGTCTCTGATGGATCCAACGTTCTGTCCCTCCCTCCCATCCTACCACCACAAACTCTTCCTCACTCACCCACACTCTCTTTCACACACACATACACAGCCACACAGCCATGTCCTCAGGATCCCCCTGGCACCTCGTTCCCCCTGGCACCTCGCGCCTCGTGTTTTTCTGTTTCGCCAGGGCACCAAATACCAAGCCCACAGCTGGCTGTCAAGGGCATCTCATCTTCCGACGGGCGCCTTGATCTCTTGTGATCTTTTCCCGAGAACACTCGGGCATTTCACTGCAGCTGCACTTCTTAATTATAGCTTGGCTCTACCAGTCTCCCTGAATATCATATTGGGCCGCTCCAACTGAAATCCATATTGGGGAAAAAAGGAGGGAGAGAGAGAAAGAGAGGAGAGAGCTTTGACATTGACATCCTAGTTGCGGAAAAGCTCAGCAGTAGCATGTTTCTCCATCGCATCTGAAATGAATGTGACCCCACTTCAAGGGAGCGGTTGGAGCCGGGTGTGGATGAGGGCTCCTCCCCAGCGTGGCCCTCTGCACACAAAGTGAGCACACACACATGCTTTCATGCTCCTTCATACAAACACACACACACTTATATACTGTAGGCACACTCAGCGAGTTAAGAGGCACACACACACTTTTGCACTGGCACTCAGAGTGAAGAGGCAGAAACTTGAAACATGTGTAGTGGGTGGGCACCTGTCCTTTTGAAGACCAGAGACCACGTGTGTGTAAGGAGTCCACTGGGCCACGGAAGGTACCTGTCTGAAAGCAGCCTCTGCATTACCAAAGGACACCTTTACCTTACCTTTACCACCATCAGCTCCCAATGTCTTAATGAGGACATCACCTACATATCCTCTGTGTTTTCAAAGCACTGACCTCGTCATTAACAGGACCGCAGCCGCCAAGCCAAAAAAGTTCACCCTCTAATCTCTCCGGCAACGTTTAAAAGTGAGATGGCGAAAGCAGCATGGAGCCAACTAAAGGGCCACGGGGCAAGAAGAAGGTGGGGCCCTACAAATCCCTTTTCCACGTGTGTGTGTGTGTGTGTATGTGTATATCCTGTGTGCATGTGTGTGGTTGGGGTGTGAAGAGCCAAATTACCCTTTCCCTCTCTCACTCCTTAATAAAACTTTGATGGGCTCCTCTCAAAAAGTAGCCGGGCCCACTAATCAGAATTGATTGCCGCCACTTAAGAAGAAGCCAGAAGCTCGTCTCCAAGAAGCTGGAGCCAGCCTTCCTCAATGAAACCAGGGAGAAACAACACAAATGAGATATGAAGAGAGAGGGAGAGGGAGAAAGATGGAAGAAAGGAATAACCCACTGCAGCCATAAAAGTTTTGTTTATCTCATCTTTATATTTTTTCGCTCTGCTATGAATTGGAGTTTATTTCTCACCTTTTGTGTTTACAGTCAGCTTCATTTCAATGCAGAGATTGCCAGGATTCGATGGATTTGGCCATGTGTGATTGTGCAGTCTTTTTTTAAGCCCCATCACCCGTTTCCTGGATGGTGCTGAACGGACCTTTGGCTATTTGCGATAACGCCAAAATAAGCAATGTATATTCAGCACCACTTTAGGCGACTGGCCTCCTCCCCTCGAAAATGGAATTGAGTGGAGAAAAAAAAAAGCCATTGTCCACATTGATCTGACTAAGGCAAATTAATTTGAAATCTTGAAAATAAAGTTTTAACTGTTTTATTATTTAATACTATTTTAAACATAAGTAAGATCACTTTATTCATGAGATGACTTGGGGCCTTCTGGTACGATGTTATTAACAAAATAGCCGAATTGAGGAATGTTTTTTTAATACTATAGCTTGCAATGTGAACAGTGAATCTGTGAATAACTTTTTATTTAAAGGAAGCCTTTCTTTATTTTCATCGAGAGGCTGTTTGTTTGGTTGTAGAGAGGCTGTATGAAGAAGATGGACTTTGGTTTTCACAATCTAATTCAAGACCATCATAGAAATGGAACATATACATCCCTGAAATGAAGTGTATGAAGTACAAATGTTTATCCAATTCTCTGCCTTGTGTGGCTGTTAAAACAAATACATTAGCTCGTTTTGAAACGCCTATAGCTACTGTATTCAATTATAAATCATCAGGAACAGTGTACTGCTGTGTTTTGATACTTATTTTTCTTCTTTGTGGCTGTTTTTGTTCCTGTTCCTAGCCACTGTGAATCATATTCCCACATTTCGTTTTGATTAAGTGTTTGTTGTCTCACCGGTCTCTCAATTCTGTTTTTTTACTGTATTGTCATTGCATTTTCTTGCCCACTTTTGTCTTTCCTTGCGTTTGTACCTTCCAAAAAAGTACATTACCTGCACAGGAGGTTGGTAGCACCTTAATTGGGGAGGACAGGCTTGTGGTAATGGCTGGAGCGGAATCAGTGGAATGGTATCAAATACATCAAACATATGGTTTCCATGTGTTTGATGCCATTCCATTCGCTCCGTTCCAGCCACTATTATGAGCCGTCCTCCCCTCAGCAGCCTCCACTGAAATGAAAGAACAAAACAACATAGAAAGACATATTCAGTTTGTTTTCTTTAGTGGAATTGCTTTCCACTACTAGTGCCTTTGTTTTCCCGGAACTCACCCCATTGGACAGCACTGCTGCGTGTCCAATCCCGGACTCCCCCGCAGTGAGCTGGATGTTGCGAGCGGCCGCTGTTGTTGTGCCGTCATGGTGGACAACCTCCTGGGGTACGGCGGGCCGCTGTTGAGTTCTCACAACATGGCCACGCTTGTGTCCAGGAACAGAACCACTGCACAAGAGAAAGGCCACGTTCCCTGTTGGACACAGAGCTGTTGTGTTGTCAAGCCCTAACACTGTTTTTCAGTCCAAAAATGGATCAGTGTCCAGTTTCTCACCACCTCCAATTCTCTCTGTTTGTTTTTGCCCAAAACCACATCTGTGTTGTTGATATACACTATATATACAAAAGTATGTGGACATCCCTTCAAATTAGTGGATTCGCAAACATTGGCAGTAGAATGGCCTTACTGAAGAGCTCAGTGACTTTCAACGTGGCACCGTCATAGGATATCACCTTTCCAACAAGTCAGTTCGTCCAATTTCTGCCCTGCTAAAACTGCCCCGGTCAACTGTAAGTGATGTTATTGTGAAGTGGAATCGTCTAGGAGCAACAACGGATCAGCCGCGAAGTGGTAGGCCACACAAGCTCACAAAACGGGACAGCCGAGTGTTGAAGCACATTGCGCGTAAAAATCATCTGTCCTCGGTTGCAACACTCACTATCGAGTTCCAAACTGCCTCTGGAAGCAACATCAGCACAATAACTGTTTGTCGGGAGCTTCATGAAATGAATTGCCATGGCCGAGCAGCCCCACACAAGCCTAAGATCACCATGCCCAATGCCAAGCATCGGCTGGAGTGGTGTAAAGCTCGCCGCCATTGGAGTCTGGAGCAGTGGAAACGCGTTCTCTGGAGTGATGAATCACCATCTGGCAGTCTGTCGGACGAATCTGGGTTTGGCAGATGCCGGGAGAACGCTACCTGCCCCAATGCATAGTGCCAACTGTAAAGTTTGGTGGAAGATGAATAATGGTCTGGGGTTGTTTTTCATGGTTTGGGCTAGGCCCCTTAGTTTCAGTGAAGGGAAATATTAACGCTACAGCATACAATGACATTCTAGACGATTCTGTGCTTCCAACTTTTTGGCAACAGTTTGGGGAAGGCCCTTTCCTGTTTCAGCATGACAATGCCACGTGCAAAAGGCGAGGTCCATACAGAAATGGTTTGTCGAGATCGGTGTGGAAGATCTTGACTTGCCTGCACAGAGCCCTGATCTCAACCCCATCGAATGCCTTTGGAATTAATTGGAACGCTGACTGCGAGCCAGGCCTAATCCCCCAACATCAGTGCCCGACCTCACTAATGCTCTTGTGGCTGAATGGAAGCAAGTCCCCGCAGCAATATTCCAACATCTAGTGGAAAGCCTTCGCAGAAGAGTGGAGGCTGTTATAGCAGCAAAGGGGGGACCAACTCCAAATTAATGCCCATGATTTTGGAATGGGATGTTCGACGAGCAGGTGTCCACATACTTTTGGTCATGTAGTGTAGGTGTACACTTATACTATATTAACACAACAAGGTATAGCATTGTAAAGGAGGCAATGTATGCAAGGTATGCATTGAGCATACAGTATACCACAATGGACTGGAGGCCATTTTACGAATAACCCCAGTACACCAGACTTTAATGCCATTATGAACATTATCAGTGTTGACATAATGCTTTAATCATTCCCATTGGTTTCCACCTAGCGCCGAGTCACACAACAGATTACCAGCAGTTTAGCCCGTGATGCCTATCATTGGAGTGTTTTAATCCCAGCACATTCTTCAAATCAATACATTTAATTTAATCATTAGTGTCAGGCTGCCCCTCAAACTGACAGGCCTAACCCTGCTTTCAAGCAAGCCACTTTAATTAGGCACACATTATCTGTGTGTAACATTAGCCTCTGTTGTGTTCAGCCACTGCTAACAGAGAAGGAGCCAAGCACAATGGCTACTGGCGCTAAAGTTAGCGGTTAGCGTTAAGAAGTAGCGTAGTTAAGCAACTTATCCAAAAGAATGAAAGTAATTGAGTTAAGAAGTTGGGACACCAGAATAGCTTTGCGAAATGGAGTTGAATGTTGCGGAGTTATGTTTTGATTTGACTTAAATCTTGGGCCCACTTGCTAAAAATAGAGCTCTCCTTTGAACATTTGACTTTTTACTTCTTACTTGGAATTCACACACTTGTTAGCTATTCTGTTTGTCTCTGTTTGTCGTTCTCTTCTGATATTCCAAGACCACCACCCTGGCAGCAGGACCAAAGACATTAGCTATGAGTTGGCACGGCAACAGGTTTACCCCCCGCTCCTTTTGCGCCACGTGGCTTGACCTTGTGGGAGTAAGGGGAGGTGAGTGGAATCGAGATGGGGTCTTCTGATGAGGGGGCACGTGGCTACTCTAAGGAAAAAAGGTGGATGGCAGCGGAGATGGAGCCACGCTCTGTATTTCTTTGCTTCTCCACTCCCTCCACAGCAGCATAACCAGAGAGAAGGCTTCATCACCTCCTTTGATGAATTAAGTCCTCGCATTTGACTGACAGCCTCTCTTTCGCTCCTCCTCTTTTTCCCCTCGCTCGCTCTCTTGCTTTCTCTCTCTTTTGGGATAAAAGCGAAAGAGCACGGCTAACCAGCTGGAACCCAGAACTATCAGCTTCACCCCCCCCCCCCCCCCCCCCATCACTATCACAACCCTGGCTTTCATGTGCCCGCCGCTGCAAACTGTAATGATCCCAGATTATTTCTTCATTTAGTTATTTGTTTCCGTTTATTTAGTTATTTATTAATGCTACCTATTTTTTCTTGTTGCTTTTGCTCCATTGAACTGGGCTGCTGCGGGTGAGAATAAATGTGGTGTGGGGAGGAGAAGAAGACACAGAGAGCAGTAAATGGCCGGCATCGATCAGTCAGAGGTGGTGGGGGAGGCTTTCATCTGAACCAGACATTGGCATTATCCATCGCGATCGCCAGGCAAAAACAACCCCCTGCTCATTATTCTGCGTGTGTGTGTCACCACACACTCCTGTTCTAATTACAAACAAAAAACTAAGTTATAAGTGAGAAGTAGGCATCGGTCTGAAGCCGAAAAAGAAAGGAAATTTACATGAACACCACAATGCTTACTTCACCCATGCGCTACCAAGGTTTTCCAGAACACAGCTTTGACCTACTACAGTAGCTATGTTGGTCTATTGTACTTCAAACAATGTGTAGGCAGGTTGCTTAGGATTCAAATCTTCTCAAAGATCAGATGAATTTCAACAAAGAAAGGAAATGATGGTGAAAATGGCGAGAGACTGTTTCAGGGTCTATTAAACAAAGCGCACCTGGTATCATGGATTGAACTCCTGGCAAATCAGAATTTTTTCACCTCAACAAAGACAAGAGTTCTTCCCAGCTGTATTCAGCACAGCTTAAAGTCACAAACCATGATGGTGCTCCAAAGTGTCAAAGCATACACATGACCTCAGAATGTTGACCATACCAGTATTCTTTAGTTCTGTGCATGTTACCAAGAATACTTAAGATTCACCTGTAGAGATTTGTCGTGTTCTTTAAGTCTGCTAAACTGAGGAGAACATTTTAAGGTGTGTGCAATACTCCCAGATAGAACACCCAGCTCACTCTTCCAAAGCAAATGAAAAATGTACTCTGAACTCTGGGGTCAAAAGACAGTAAGCGAGCTGTTCTGTACTCTGACATCAAGCCTTCCACCTTTTCCTGTCGGAAAAAGGTAAGGAAAACAACATACCACAAGTCTTATTTCCCATATGTGACCGACCGGCTCGATTCGGCCCTATGTAACAACATTTGAAATTGTGTTTTTTACATTGGATGAAAGTAGCGACTCAGAGCTAGAAAATGGTACAGTGCATTCGGAAAATATTCAGACCCCTTGACTTTTTCCACATTTTGTTACGTTACAGCCTTATTCTAAAATTGATTCAATTGTTTTTTCCCTCATCTATCTACACACAATACCCCATAATGACAAAGCAAAAACAGGTTTTTAGATATTTTCTCTGCAGATCCTCTCAAGCTCTGTCAGGTTGGATGGGGAGCGTCGCTGCACAGCTATTTTCAGGTCTCTCCAGAGATGTTAGATCCGGTTCAAGTCCGGGCTCTGGCTGGGCCACTCAAGGACATTCAGAGACTTGTCCCGAAGCCACTCCTGCGTTGTCTTGGCTGTGTGCTTAGGGTCGTTGTCCTGTTGGAAGGACTCTCACCTAGTAGGTCAACAGTCATTGCCATAGTCAAGTGTTTCCCAACTCCTCAAGTACATTTTTGTTGTAGCCCCGGACAAGCACACCACATCATCAAGCCCTCAATGAGTTGAATCAGGTGAGTTTGTCAGGGACTACAACAAAAATGTGTACTATTGGGGGTACTTGATGACTGGAGTTGGGAAACACTGCCATAGTCAATGCATGGACAATGACAATGATACCCTCTTTTGACCTTCTCTCCCTTCCTCTTTCTCTCCCTATCTCTCTTTCTTTGACCCCCAGCCCTGAAAGATGCCCGCTTCCAGCTGGTCAACTTCTCGGACAATGAGCTGCGGGTGTCTCTGTCCAATGTGAGCCTGTCGGATGAGGGGAGATACGTGTGCCAGCTCTACACGGACCCCCCACAGGAGGCCTATGCCGACATCACTGTGCTGAGTATGAATACACATACACCACACAATGTTTGATGAGGGGAAAAATGTCTCAGACCGTCTACGTTGACATTCATTATGAGAGTATGATTGAAAACACGCACACACACACTAGTGATGCACGGGTTGACCCATAACCCGCCATCCCTGAAGTTATATCCACGAGGCGGGTGGGTTTAGGGTCTAGAAATATTGTTTGGATGAAGGGTGGGTGGGTGGTAGGTTGATTGAATAAAGAGTCTTGTGCAATTCATATCTACAGGCTACTTTGATGTTTTTTTCTACATCATTTTTACCTGGCTTTAGTGTGTAGCCTAAGCCAAATACATGCCAATTGCCAATTGCTTTTGGGAACTTTGGGAGAAAAAGTTAACACTGATCCACTGAGGCAAAAAGGACAGTATCGGATAACAGAAATTCAATAACAGAAAAGCTGCGAAATAGAGAGTTGAAAATAAATAGAAGGGAGCGCCAGAACAATAGTCTAGTGTTTGGGAAAGATTTGGTCAAGTGGTAAAAGAGGAAGATTTAGAGACGCTACAAATTTGACAGACACAAGACAGGGACTTCAAAATGGCACGTCAAGGGAACTGTACTGTTCAGATGGGTTAAATGGAATAGTAGCCAAACTGAAATCTGGACACTGACTATAGGTCTATAACCTTTCACATAGCCTAATATAATATTAACTCCTTCAGAATTAGTCATTTCTAGCAGTAAAATGATAGACCAAATGTACATTTTGACTCGGGAACAGGAGTGGAGAAATATTATGAATTTATTTCAGCATCTTGAGAGAATGAATGCACGGTTAGGGACCGTCTATAAAGGTGCTATCTTTATCAGCATCATCAAAAGCTGATAGTATTTCAATCACATAAAATATGCATCCAAGCCGAATTGAAATCTTATCAAAAACATGCTGGGTCGTTTTAACAGCTTTTAAACGTCTTTGCTGCACGAGAAAAGCAGAGACGAAAGAAGAAAGAAAAAACAAACTACCGACGTCAACTAGATTGAAGCATTCATTCTATCGATTTATGACATTCTAGCACCAACTAATGACAGAAGAGAAGCTGTGTGTATCTAATTATAGACAAGTTGACTAACAAATAGCCTACCAAAATGTCGGAAATTATAAGCAGAAACATAGGCCTATCTAAAAAGGCCTGTCAAACAACAAATCCTGTCATCTCTGACTGTACATCGCATTTTCTATATTTGGGGGTTGGGGTCGGGTGCGGTCCTCAGATTTTCACTTTATCACATATAGTCGGGCGGTTGCGGATGGGTTATTAGCAATTGCGGGCGCGCGTGAACAAACAGCTGACCCACACATCACTAACACACACACAGCTATCACTGGCACATCAGTTACCGATGGAGTGGTTAATACCATAGCTCCACATTTTGTTGTGTTACAGCCTGAATTTTAAATGGATTAAATTGAGATTTTGTGTGGCCTACACACAATACCCCATAATGTCAAAGTGGAATTATGTTTTTAGAAATGTTGAGAAATTAATTACAAATTAAAAGCTGAAATGTGTTGAGTCAATAACTATTCAATCCCTTTGTTATGGCAAGCCTAAATAAGTTCAGGAGTAAAAATGTGCTTAAGTCACATAAGTTGCATGGACTTCAACACTGTGCAATAATAGTGTTTAACATGACTACATTTTACATTTACATTTTAGTCATTTAGCAGATGCTCTTATCCAGAGCGACTTACAGTTAGTGAGTGCATACATTATTTTATTTTTTCATACTGGCCCCCCGTGGCAATCGAACCCACAACCCTGGCGTTGCAAACGCCATGCCCTACCAACTGAGGTACATACCTCATCTCTGTATCCTACACATACAATTATCTGTAAGGTCCCTCAGTCGAGCACTGAATTTCAAACACGGATTCAACCACAAAGACCAGGAAGGTTTTCCAATGCCATGCAAAGAAGGGCACCTATATAAAAAAAGCAGACATTGAATATCCCTTTGAGCATGGTGAAGTTATTAATTACACTTTGGATAGTGTATCAATACACCCAGTCACTACAAAGATACAGGCGTCCTTCCTAACTCAGTTGCTGGAGAGGAAGGAAACCGCTCAGGGATTTCACCATGAGGCCAACGGCGACTTTAAAACAGTTAGAGTTTAATGGCTGTGATAGGAGAAAACTGAGGATGGCTCAACAACATTGTAGTTACTCCACAATACTAACCTAAATGACAGAGTGAAAAGTCTGTACAGAATAAAAATATTCAAAAACATGCATCCTGTTTGCAATAATGTACTAAAGTAAAATTGCACCAAAAACATTATGTCCTGAATACAAAGCGTTATGTTTGGGGCAAACACAACACATCACTGAGTAACACTCTCCATATTTTCAAACCTAGTGGTGGCAGCATCATGTTATGGATATACTTGTAATCGTTAAGGACTGGGGAGTTTTTCAGGATAAAAAATAAACGATATGGAGCTAAGCACAGGCAAAATCCTAGAGGAAAACCTGGTTCAGTCTGCTTTCCAGCAGACACTGGGAGACCAATTCACCTTTCAGCAGGACAATAGCCTAAAACAGAAGGCCAGATATACACTGGAGTTGCTTACCAAAACGACATAGAATATTCCTGAGTGGCCTAGTTACAGTTTTGACTTAAATCGGTTAGAAAATCTAATGCAATACTTGAAAATGGCTGTCTAGTAATAATCAACAACCAACTTTATGTAATCCAAAATCGGTGAGTGGTCTCAGCTCGCACATTTATGGTTAAGAGTATAGTTGAGAGAAGGGGGAAAAGCATCCTAAAACATCTGAAGTGTACTGCATATAGTCAGTGTATGGGCTTTATTATCAAGTGGATGATTTAAAAAGGGGCCTTTCGACAAAGCTGATAGCGGCCGATTCTGACTTGAGATACGCGCACTTAAATAGAACTCCTCTCTGCGCACATTCTGACGTTGTTATTGTTTACAGGAAAATGACTGTACTGTAGTCAATTTAATTGATTTCAAAGTATTCCCATAAACCTCTCACCGATACAGTACTATTGCAACAAAATTCTGTTATTTTATTTGGTATGTGGAGGGACCCATATTAGAAATTACACCCATGACAATAGATGCATCACACCATGCTATTGCAACACCACCCCATTGCTGATGAAACACCCTTCCACCACACATGGACAGTTAAGACATCTAAGAGGCAGGACTGACCCGACACCCCCTGGTTGTTAGGGTGATTTATGCCCCACGTTCCCTAAACACAGTGTCTATTTGTCCCCTCTGCCAGTCCCTCCAGGCAACCCAATCATCGAATCCCGGGAGGGGCAGGTGATTGAGGGCAACGAGACAGAGATGACCTGCACTGCTATGGGCAGCAAGCCCGCCGCCACAATCAGATGGATGAAGGGAGACAAAGAGCTCCAAGGTAGGTTAACACCCGTCAACACCGTCACGCCCAAAACACTTTGTCAACCTAGTCACGCCCAAAACACTTTAGCTCTCTACTTTAACTCAGTTGGACTCTCCGACTGAAAGACTGAAGAGTCTTTCAAACAATATTTTTCTGATGAAGAGGAATAAAAAGGGCGAGGGTTAAGGTAATTGTAGTGAATTACTCTGTATGAATTGTAGAGTTGTCTATTAATGTTCATGCATCATTTTCCATTCCCTACATTGACTAAGTTCAAATTAGTCGACCCAGTGATTTAGTCATACATTCATGACCATAGCTTTATTCAAAAGCTTTATTTTTCAATAAAACCAGACAGAGACTCAATGGATGACGGCTCATCACCAAGTCAACACCAAAACCCCTCCCCTCACATCATCTTCATAGACGTTTTCTTTAACCCATCTCTTGGCGCCTCTACACTCTCTTTCTAACTTTCTTCGCTCTTGATTTCTTCTCTCGTTCCTTTATAATTAGCGCTACGTCAATGACACCTCAGCCTAATTAGGTCACTCCCATGGCTCTGAATGACTTCCATTAGAGTGATGGGCTGGCTCAGTGGTCGCCTAGCCTTTTGGCAGAGTGACAGCTTTCAAGCCTCTCTTCAAAGGGAGCTGGGCGATTAGGGGGCCCATGGATTGGGCCAATGGAATGACCCCATGCTGTTCCAGCTCTTACTCAGCAGAGCCCAAAGCCCGTCACTCAACCTCATACCAACCACTAATGGTGCAAAGCCCTAATGAGGAGTCAAGGCCTTGGTTTCATCTACTCAATAAACACTTTTACCCAGGAGAGGGTAGGCTGACTGGTCCTGGAGGACTGTGCGCAGTGTGTGCAGGCTTAAGTTCCAGACCAGTGCTAATACACCAGTTTCACATAATATAGACCAGGTTTAGGTGAATTTGGTGTTTTAGTGCTGGGCAGGAACAAAAGCCTGCACACATTGCGGCATTCCAGGACAGTAGGTGCCCGTTCCCTGCATCAGCCGTTCCCTGCATTAGTAACTACTACAGTGTTGTTGAATAGCACTGGCTAGGCCTAGATGTGTGGATGATATCCTTCCTTAATCTCTGTGTTGACAAGATAAGTTACTTGACAACAAACAGAGGGTGAAGGAGAGTTCACAGACCTGAGCTTAACTGCTAGCCGTGTAAAATGTTTTGTCCATTGCCTATTTTTATTGTAATTTGGTATTTTCATTTGGTAATTAAGAGGCCTTTCTATTGCCGACCACCTCTGAAAGTAGTATCGCGTTGTCTTGAATGATGTGGAGTTGAGTCCATGTTTTCTTCGTTAATTGCCACATCAATGTGAAGAAAATGGCATGCCGCATTGTTCAGTGGGAGTTTGACTGACTGAATGGACAGAATGTGGAGGTTGAGAAGCAGGAAACGTGAGGACAGAAGAGACATGGGCTCTTTGTCAAGTCATATTTCCTGGGTTTTTGCATCCTCTCTCCTTGCCTCCTCTGAGGGGAGGGACCTTGGACCTCTAATACGGTTAAGAAGGAGGCGAGCAGATAGGATGTAAGGAATCATGGAATGATGAATTGAGATAGGACACAAAAGGGAAAGAGCGCGTCACCGCAGTCCACGCCACTCGCCGCCTGCTCCAAATTGCTTTCGGCGTCGGCCGGCTTCTCGCCTTGCAGATTTATTTCTAATTAAACCTAATTACCTTAAGGGATAATCGGGCGTGTTTTAAATATCATTTAAAGGTTACACACCCGTCCTGCTCACTCACGAATGTAAACCAAGATGTCGGCCCCCGAAAGCAAAGCCCCAGTTATCCTACTATCATTATATACCTTCTCTTGCCCTCTCTGTGTCTCTCTCTCTCTCTCTCTCCCCCACTCTCTCTTTCTCCCCTCACCCTTGCCCTTTCCCTTCCCCACTCTGCCTCTTTCTTGTCCTCTCTCTTATCCTGCTTGTTTTGTGTTGTGGTTAATATTCCCCCCTCTTTTATATCCTGTCTTCAACAGATATCTCCAGCACTTAAAGCAAACGAGTGAAATCAAAGTCAAGGAACAATGGGAGTTCCAGCAGCACAGGTTATTCTGTCTGTACAAGACGAGATGAGAGGGAGAGAGACGGGGAGGGGGGGGATAGGACGACGGAGCAGTGACGGACGGGTGCGAGCATGGCCATTAGCCTTAAGTCTTCTAAAGAAAACTACCGGGGTGATTTCAATTACCCTGCCACACTCTGCCGGAATGACTGGCAAATTGATAAAATAATATTTGAACTTGCTGAGGGCAAGTAGTCAAGGAATGTCTGAGGCACTTCGATGCATCCGAGTCCACTCTCCCCAACCGCAGGCCCCCCGCGTACCCCCGCGCTCTTAAATGGCGCTGAAATTACAATTAACTATTATTTTAAAATGTAAAATAGGGGGGACTGTTAATGGCTCTGCATCTGAAGGAATAGCTAAGTGCAGCCATTAACAGTGGATCGACTCTCTCTGCTTTGATGTTGAAGTCTGAGCTTCACTATTCTACTACAAAAGCAATTAGCTTTTCATTAACATTAATATGTTCGCTAGCACTCAAAAAATAATGTCTGAGTAATATCGAGCGTCACATCTGAGACTGCGGCTATCAAATGGAGATGCTATCACCGTGGGAAGATGATGTCTTCATAAGTAAATAAGATTCAGTATGCATCATCCAATTCAAAGGTATTTGCATATCTCAGTCTTTCATTGAAGTCTGCCCCTTCCATTGAGGAAGTGCCCGACATATGTTTGTTATTGCATAATGTTGGCAGTGCAGTGATATTCAACATGTCCATAATTAGCTACTGTGCTGTAATAATAACATCAAATGTATGGAAAACCAATTAAATCCTTAGGTCAAGGTACACCTTACACATTATCAATGTGATAGAGCCAGTGTCTGCTGTCTTTTCCCCCTGGTAGTAAATTGTTCACTTTATCATTGGTCAGACAGTCACCTTAGCTGATTTCTCATGTCTAACTCATCTGTTTATTTAAAACGCTGTCAGTAATTATTTTTAACTATGACACCTCGCTGCTCCTTCTCCACGTTGCTGTATGTTTTTTTTACGGTTGCGTTTTATTAGCGACAAATTAGTTTCTACAGCGCTTGGCTTGTCAAATGGGGTAACACGCACCTGTTTGTCACAAAGACTCGTTTTCACATCAGCCTCGGAGACAGCTGTCACTGCGGTGACGGAGCGGGATGTGAAGCGGGTAACTCATTATCCGTCAGATACCTGTAGCTGAGGAACAACAGCACTCAAAGGCAGTTCACTAGGAGCAAGAAGGCAGTTTGCCATTTCATCCTTATAATACAAAGCTACAGTGCCTTCAGAAAGTATTCACACCCCTTTACTTTTTCCACATTTTGATGTGTTACAAAGTGGGATTAAAATGAATTTGTCATTTTTTTGTCAACGATCTACACAAAATACTCTGTAATGTCAAAGTGTAAGAAAAATTTGAGCATTTGTAAAAAAATAAATATAATAATAATAATAAAAACACTAATTGATTAGATAAGAATTCAACCAGTCAATACATGTTAGAATCACCATTGGCAGCGACTACAGCTGTGAGTCTTTCTGGGTAAGTCTATAAGAGCTTTCCACACCTGGAATGAAAAATTCTTCAAGCTCTGTCAAATTGGTTGTTGATCATTGCGAGACAACCATTTTCAGGTCTTGCAATAGATTTTCAAGCATATTTAAGTCAAAACTGTAACTTGGCCACTCAGGAACATTCACTATCTTATTGGTAAGCAACTCCAGTGTAGATTTGGCCTTGTGTCTTAGGTTGTTGTCCTGCTGAAAGGTGAATTCATCTCCCTGTCACGATCGTCTGAAGGAGCGGACCAATACGCAGCGCGTGGAGTGAACATGATGACTTTATTATTTAAAGCAACCACGAAGAAAACAACAAAAGACGATACGTGAAGTTCAAATACTGATACAGACTAACAGCAACACGGAAACAATAACCCACAAAACAAAGGAGAAAACACACAGAATATATATGGCTCCCAATCAGAGATAACGAGCCGACAGCTGACACTCGTTACCTCCGATTGGGAGTCATAGACCAATCACCATAGACACAAACAAAATGAAACTCACCCATCCCCAACACCACCAAATGAAATACACCCAAACACATGAAAATGAACAACCCTGGCTCAATTATAAAGTCCATAGAGCCAGAGTGTCACAGTACCCCCCCCCTAAAGGTGCGAACTCCGGGCGCACCAACATCAGGACTAGGGGAGGGTCTGGGTGGGCGTCTGTCCACGGTGGCGGCTCTGGCCCCGGTCGTGATCCCCACCCCACCACAGTCACAACCTGCTTCGGTAGCCTCCTCCCAATGACCACCCTCCAACTAACCCCACCTGGACTAAGGGGCAACACCGGACTAAGGGGCAGCATCGGCCTAAGGGGCAGCACCGGGATAAGGGGCAGCACCGGGATAAGGGGCAGCACCGGGACAAGGGGCAGCACCGGGACAAGGGGCAGCACCGGGCTAAGGGGCAGCACCGGACTACGGGGCAGCACCGGGCTAAGGGGCAGCACCGGACTAAGGGGCAGCACCGGACTAAGGCGCAGTACCAGGCTGAATGGCGGATCCCGGCTGGTCGGCTCTGGCGGATCCCGGCTGGACGGCTCTGGCGGATCCCGGCTGGACGGCTCTGGCGGATCCCGGCTGGACGGCTCTGGCGGATCCCGGCTGGACGGCTCTGGCGGATCCCGGCTGGACGGCTCTGGCGGATCCCGGCTGGACGGCTCTGGCGGATCCCGGCGGGACGGCTCTGGCGGATCCAGGCTGGACGGCTCTGGCGGATCCTGGCGGGACGGCTCTGGCGGATCCAGGCTGGACGGCTCTGGCGGATCCTGGCTGGACGGCTCTGGCGGATCCTGGCTGGACGGCTCTGGCGGATCCTGGCTAGACGGCTCTGGCGGATCCTGGCTAGACGGCTCTGGCGGATCCTGGCTGGACGGCTCTGGCGGATCCTGGCTGGACGGCTCTGGCGGATCCTGGCTGGACGGCTCTGGCGGATCCTGGCTGGACGGCTCTGGCGGATCCTGGCTGGACAGCTCTGGCGGATCCTTGCTGGACGGCTCTGGCGGATCCTGGCTGGACGGCTCTGGCGGATCCTGGCTGGACGGCTCTGGAGGATCCTGGCTGGACGGCTCTGGAGGATCCTGGCTGGCTGACGGATCTGGCTGCTCATGGCTGGCTGACGGATCTGGCTGCTCATGGCTGGCTGACGGATCTGGCTGCTCATGGCTGGCTGACGGATCTGGCTGCTCATGGCTGGCTGACGGGTCTGGCTGCTCATGGCTGGCTGACGGATCTGGCTGCTCATGGCTGGCTGACGGATCTGGCTGCTCATGGCTGGCTGACGGATCTGGCTGCTCATGGCTGGCAGATGGTGCTGGCTGGGCGGCTGGCGGTGGAGGCGGACCCCAGCCTCGGATTGCAGTCATCACCTCCAGCAGGGTGGCTCCCATCTGCAGGAGCTGCTCTTGCTGGTCCCGAACCTGAGCTTCCAGTCTAGTATGGGCTGCGTCGGCTCCTGCTGATTCCATAGCAGGTGTATGATTCTGTCTGGCGGAAGGCTCTAGCGGCTCCTGTCTGGCGGAAGGCTCTAGCGGCTCCGATCTGGCGGACGGCTCTGAAGGCTCATTACCGACGGGCGGCTTATGCAGCGCTTGGCAGACGGGCAGTTCAGACGCCCTAGGGCAGACGGGCAGTTCCGGCGCCGTTGGGCAGACGGCCAGTTCAGGCGCCGTTGGGCAGACGGCAGACTCTGGCCGGCTGGCGACGCACATCGTGGACCTGGTGCGTGGAGTAGGAACAGGCCGGTCCATACCGGGAACACACACCACTGGCCTTAACTGGGGATCAGGAACGGGCCGGACCGGACTGGTAACACACTTCAGTCTCTCATGCCGTGCCACAACAACTTCCCTCCTTCTACTCGCCAATGGCTCCCGTACTCCGTTAGCCTTCTCTCCTTTTCTCCCTGTGGCAGCCTCCTGCTGCCCAGCTGCCCAAGCCATGTGCCCCCCCCAAAAAATTTCTTGGGGTTGCCTCTCTTCCACGGGCTTCCAGCCTCGCCTTCGCGCTGCCTCCTCGTACC